AAAATTGCAGCAGTTACAGGTCAAGTTAGCATTAATTAATAAGCTAGAATTGCTGACACTGTCGGGGCTTGTGATAGTATCCAGCATGAAGTAGAGGTATACAAGACAGTATCGCTATTCTCTTGCATGAGATGTAAGTCTTTTTATTTGGTGGCTTCCCAGCCCAGCTGTTCGTTTGCACTAGAGGAAAGCATTTGGGAAAGACTATAGTATTGGCCAAGTGTATCGAGCAAGGACACCCGGACAAAAAACCTGGGAGACAGACATAAACTTTCATAGCTGAGTACTTACTTATATTAGCTAGGAGATTGATTATTGATGCTGCAAGTCACTCCATACTACATGCTTTATGCTGGACACAGTTCATTGCAGGCATCCAAATTTTATGTGTTAAGGATTGTACAGTTTTTACAATGTATGTAAAACTAACGATTAACTTGTTACTTTAATTTATATACTTATTCTATTAGCGGCTTTGCATAAAGAGTTTGGAGTAAATGACAGTGGAATGAAAGATATCGGTGACTGTCCAAGGTAACTGTTTTTCTAGATAATAATAATACCAGAAGTAGATTTAATTTTCTATTTTTTGAACCTCCCAATTATTCAATGCTGCAATATTTTATTCCTTTGGTGAAAAAATTAGAAGAAATTAATCACCTGTAAGAATGAAAACATGATGTTCAAACCTTACTTATTTAGGATTTTAGGATTTTAGGATTTTAGGTTTTTAAAGAATTAGGATTTTAATTTTAAAGTATTGTAAAGCGCCATTGACAATTAGTGGAAAATGGCGCTATATAAATGTATATTTATTTATTTATTTATTTACTCAGTCTGTTTTAAGGCCATGCCAGAAATTCCAGAACAGTTTTCCTCTTTGACATGAATTTGTCTTAAGTTTCAATATTTTATACAAAAGTGATTAAAATGCTTAGACAGTATTTAATTTGGTTTGGAAGTCTCAATATATGATATGACTAGATTAAAAAATTGGTTGAGTCTCACACTTTATAGGAACTGCTATCACAAGATGGATTAACAAATTGGAAGTAAATGGGATATTTTAGCTGTTTTAACACTAACATTTCATGCAACTGAACATACAAGCTGTTTTCTGAGATATCTATCTTCAAGCATTATTTTTTTCTTTTCTAGGCTGGCTGTAGATGGGCCTTTTGGTACATCAAGCACTGTAAGTACCTTGTAAATCATTCAGTTCAAATTTCAAAATGAGCAATTCTCTTGAACTGATGGCCATTCATTCCTGCTCTAAAAAATATATTGATGTCTCTATGGGTTTAGTTGTGCAGTACTTACATTAGGGGGAGGAGTGGAGGGGGGGGGGAAGTCTGAATGTCTCACATCCGGTTAGTTTTTGGTCTAAATATGATCTGTATCCCGTTATTTACAGTTGCAAAAATTAACAATAATTTTTTTACTTGATATTCTGTTTTATCTCATCTTAAAACCCCACATCCCATTTATTTTTCCTCGGAATATTCTGTATATATCCAGTTAATTTCTTATCCCGCTTCCCAAAAACTCGTTATAGGGCCTCACTATACTGAGTCTTGTCTTTTTCCAGGATGTGTTCAAGTACAATGTCATTATGTGTATTGGTGCTGGTATTGGAGTAACTCCATTCGCATCCATCCTGAAGTCTGTCTGGTAAGCATTGTGTTTGAGAATAAACATCTGTTATTTGCTGGCTGGTGAGAATAAACATGTTATTTGCTGGCTGGGTGGTCCGTAAAGTTAAAACCTGTGACTGTGGTCTTGAAAAATGCAGCATTTTGAAGTCTAAGTTCACAGTTTTTCAGCAAATGGACCAGCTCTAGTATAGCTGGTAAATAACTTATATTTATTTTTTCTATTTCTCCCAAATCACTTGTTAACCTTAAATTTCCACACACATTTTGTTTGCGTTACCGTGACTGTGGACAGAGATAGGAAAACCTGGACCGCGCTAAGAACCAATCAGATTGGAGGATTCGTTGCTGTGCCCACTTGGAAAAAATAAATGAATATATTTTCTGTTTATTTGTTTGTTTGTTTGCTGGTCCATCTGTTCATCCATCCACAAGACTTTTTACACCGTTCCTTTTTGTGTCAGGTATCGCCACAACCAACGTTATGGTGACCTGGCAATCAAGAAAGTGTACTTTTTCTGGATCTGCCGGGACACAAATGCGTTTGAGTGGTTCACAGACCTCTTGAAGCATTTGGAAATTCAGGTAAAAATGGTGCACCATTAGTACTGATTTGTATTTCCCTTGGCTTGGCAGCCTCAAAATTTACCCAAGTCTGTTTTCTTTTGAAATTTCTACCAGATTTTTCTTTTAAATAAAACAAGTAGGCAGCCAGCCCTTAGATACATTTAACATGATCCTGTGTCAGAAAATTAAATGCAACACCTAATGTAACTGCATATGCATGTTGAATATATTGAAAGCAAAACGTTTTCAGGAATGTCCTGTTGTTCAAAACAAATTAATGGATTGTTTTGGAAACCTTTGTGTGTATATCCAATTTTGTCAATTAGATAATATAATTATGGTACGGCAAATGATTATATCGACCTCAGTTTATTATATGCATGGTCATCTTAAAGTTTTAAATTATTCATGTAAATCGGTGCTCAAAAAGCCACTGCAGGGCTCGAATTAGGCCTTGTTCACTAACTGATCAAATAAGAGATCAACACAGATTTGAGTAGATGTTCTCAAAATTAGAAAAAAGTCATCCTTGGTTGAAATTCTATGTTTACAAGATCCTGTATGAACTCATAGGATCCCTCTGGAATGGAATTAAATTCTAAAGAATGTATAGGATCCTTGAAAAAATCCTATAGGATATGGTGCAGAATATCCTTGTTTGTATAGGATCATGTAGATTCTTATTATGCAGGATCCTACAAGGAAAAATTTCTGTTGTGGACAGGCTTTTAGCCAGACAGGTATCCAGACGTCCTGTGGACGCTCACTTTTCAAAGAAAATTGCTTTATTTTTTCACATGTTGCCTTCTCAATAGTTCATTTGGGAAGAGCTTGAAGCACATTTTTGACACTCCATTTTCAAATCTGGGCTCTGGCCATGGATCCTTTCATTAAAGTTACTAAAGGTTAGGAAATTACTAATTTCAATTCAGATGGCTGAGATGAACATGACTGACCTTGTGGAGTACAATATCTACCTCACTGGATGGGACACTAAACTGGTGAGCCTTGGTACTCATAACATAGAAGATAACTTCCAGTTAAAATGTATACAAAAGTTGTGGAGAGGTGGCCATTGAAGAGACGTTAAATTAAGAGTGAATATATGAACTGTGTGCCAGGACAGAAAAAAATGTGGCTGATGTAGAGAGGTAGCATTAGTGGGGGTTTGACTGTAGTGTTTCTAATGTGAACAGGCCTAGGTATAGTCAGTAGAATATTTATTCATAGTGTTTCCTGTAATTTCCGAGCTCCAAACTATGTTAACCACAGTGAAGAGTACTTCATTGTCATGTTTATTATATATTAATTATAAGTTAAAGTATGTGTTACACTAGTGCATATCCAGGACCTTACTTGTTTTTTAAATAATATTACATGTTTACCGTTTTATTTCAGGCTATTCAAACCACCATGCACCAGGGTGCAGCAGATAACATCACACATTTGGAAGCTAAGACACAATATGGCAGACCAGCATGGAACAAGATTTTTAAAGACATTGCTGACAAACACAAAGGGTGGGTAGGACTGTAAAGATAAACAGTCAGGGCATCATTAAGCAATTTACAGCAGCTTTTGTGTAAAGTTTTCCTATATTTTCTTCCTCTGTTTAGGACTGAAATTGGAGTATTCTTCTGTGGACCAAGTGTTTTGTCTCATGTGTTGCACAAAACCGCCAACCAATGCAGTGATCAGAGCACTGGAGTGAAGTTTTCCTACAACAAGGAGAACTTCTAATCAACCATGGCCAGCGAAGACGGTGTTAGTCATGCATATGACTAATTTGAAAATCTTTGTGTTGTCAGTATTCAGTCTTCATAGACTGAAACTAATGTTTCCGCACAAGGCATAATTAGGATAAAAATATTGAGCTATCTGATGTACTTCAGGCTCCAGTTGTTTTCGAAGGATATTAGCTGAATAAATTGC